ACAGAGACCCACAGACTACTCACACACAGAGACCCACAGACTACTCACACAGTAGAGACCCACAGACTACTCACACACAGAGACCCACAGACTACTCACACACAGAGACCCACAGACTACTCACACACAGAGACCCACAGACTACTCACACAGTAGAGACCCACAGACTACTCACACAGTAGAGACCCACAGACTACTCACACAGTAGAAACCCACAGACTACTCACACAGTAGAGACCCACAGACTACTCACACAGTAGAGACCCACAGACTACTCACACACAGAGACCCACAGACTACTCACATAGAGACCCACAGACTACTCACACAGTAGAGACCCACAGACTACTCACACACAGAGACCCACAGACTACTCACACAGAGACCCACAGACTACTCACACACAGAGACCCACAGACTACTCACACAGCAGAGACCCACAGACTACACACACAGAGACCCACAGACTACTCACACAGTAGAGACCCACAGACTACTCACACAGTAGAGACCCACAGACTACTCACACAGTAGAGACCCACAGACTACTCAGACACAGAGACCCACAGACTACTCACAAGCAGAGACCCACAGACTACTCAAGCCACAGACTACTCACCCGAGACCCACAGACTACTCACACAGTAGAGACCCACAGACTACTCACACACAGAGACCCACAGACTACTCACACAGTAGAGACCCACAGACTACTCACACACAGAGACCCACAGACTACTCACAGCAGTAGAGACCCACAGACTACTCACACAGCACAGACCCACAGACTACTCACACAGTAGAGACCCACAGACTACTCACACAGCAGAGACCCACAGACTACTCACATAGTAGAGACCCACAGACTACTCACACAGTAGAGACCCACAGACTACTCACACACAGAGACCCACAGACTACTCACAGCAGTAGAGACCCACAGACTACTCACAGCAGTAGAGACCCACAGACTACTCACACCGCAGAGACCCACAGACTACTCACACAGTAGAGACCCACAGACTACTCACACAGTAGAGACCCACAGACTACTCACACACAGAGACCCACAGACTACTCACACACAGAGACCCACAGACTACTCACACACAGAGACCCACAGACTACTCACACAGCAGAGACCCACAGACTACTCACACAGTAGAGACCCACAGACTACTCACACACAGAGACCCACAGACTACTCACACACAGAGACCCACAGACTACTCACACAGTAGAGACCCACAGACTACTCACACAGTAGAGACCCACAGACTACTCACACACACAGAGACCCACAGACTACTCACACAGTAGAGACCCACAGACTACTCACACACAGCAGAGACCCACAGACTACTCACACAGCAGAGACCCACAGACTACTCACACAGTAGAGACCCACAGACTACTCACACAGAGACCCACAGACTACTCACACAGTAGAGACCCACAGACTACTCACACAGTAGAGACCCACAGACTACTCACACACAGAGACCCACAGACTACTCACACAGTAGAGACCCACAGACTACTCACACAGTAGAGACCCACATACTACTCACACAGTAGAGACCCACAGACTACTCACACAGTAGAGACCCACAGACTACTCACACAGTAGAGACCCACAGACTACTCACACAGTAGAGACCCACAGACTACTCACACAGTAGAGACCCACAGACTACTCACACACAGAGACCCACAGACTACTCACACAGCAGAGACCCACAGACTACTCACACACAGAGACCCACAGACTACTCACACAGTAGAGACCCACAGACTACTCACACACAGAGACCCACAGACTACTCACACAGTAGAGACCCACAGACTACTCACACACAGAGACCCACAGACTACTCACAGCAGTAGAGACCCACAGACTACTCACACAGCAGAGACCCACAGACTACTCACACAGTAGAGACCCACAGACTACTCACACAGCAGAGACCCACAGACTACTCACACAGTAGAGACCCACAGACTACTCACACAGTAGAGACCCACAGACTACTCACACACAGAGACCCACAGACTACTCACAGCAGTAGAGACCCACAGACTACTCACAGCAGTAGAGACCCACAGACTACTCACACAGCAGAGACCCACAGACTACTCACACAGTAGAAGACCCACAGACTACTCACACAGTAGAGACCCACAGACTACTCACACACAGAGACCCACAGACTACTCACACACAGAGACCCACAGACTACTCACACACAGAGACCCACAGACTACTCACACAGCAGAGACCCACAGACTACTCACACAGTAGAGACCCACAGACTACTCACACACAGAGACCCACAGACTACTCACACACAGAGACCCACAGACTACTCACACAGTAGAGACCCACAGACTACTCACACAGTAGAGACCCACAGACTACTCACACACACAGAGACCCACATACTACTCACACAGTAGAGACCCACAGACTACTCACACACACAGAGACCCACAGACTACTCACACAGTAGAGACCCACAGACTACTCACACACAGCAGAGACCCACAGACTACTCACACAGTAGAGACCCACAAACTACTCACACAGTAGAGACCCACAGACTACTCACACAGCAGAGACCCACAGACTACTCGCACAGTAGAGACCCACAGACTACTCACATAGAGACCCACAGACTACTCACACAGTAGAGATCCACAGACTACTCGCACAGTAGAGACCCACAGACTACTCACATAGAGACCCACAGACTACTCACACAGTAGAGACCCACAGACTACTCACAGTAGAGACCCACAGACTACTCACACAGTAGAGACCCACAGACTACTCACACAGTAGAGACCCACAGACTACTCACACAGTAGAGACCCACAGACTACTCACACAGCAGAGACCCACAGACTACTCACACAGCAGAGACCCATAGACTACTCACACAGTAGAAACCCACAGACTACACACACAGTAGAGACCCACAGACTACTCACACAGAGACCCACAGACTACTCACACAGTAGAGACCCACAGACTACTCACACAGTAGAGACCCACAGACTACTCACACTGTAGACACCCACAGACCACTCACACAGTAGAGACCCACAGACTACTCACACAGCAGAGACCCACAGACTACTCACACAGTAGAGACCCACAGACTACTCACACAGTAGAGACCCACAGACTACTCACACAGTAGAGACCCACAGACTACTCACACAGTAGAGACCCACAGACTACTCACACACAGTAGAGACCCACAGACTACTCACACAGTAGAGACCCACAGACTACTCACACAGCAGAGACCCACAGACTACTCACACAGTAGAGACCCACAGACTACTCACACACAGAGACCCACAGACTACTCACACAGTAGAGACCCACAGACTACTCACACAGTAGAGACCCACAGACTACTCACACACAGAGACCCACAGACTACTCACACAGTAGAGACCCACAGACTACTCACACACAGAGACCCACAGACTACTCACACAGCAGAGACCCACATACTACTCACACAGTAGAGACCCACAGACTACTCACACAGCAGAGACCCACAGACTACTCACACACAGAGACCCACAGACTACTCACACAGCAGAGACCCACAGACTACTCACACAGTAGAGACCCACAGACTACTCACACAGTAGAGACCCACAGACTACTCACACACAGAGACCCACAGACTACTCACACAGTAGAGACCCACAGACTACTCACACACAGAGACCCACAGACTACTCACAGCAGTAGAGACCCACAGACTACTCACACAGTAGAGACCCACAGACTACTCACACACAGAGACCCACAGACTACTCACAGCAGTAGAGACCCACAGACTACTCACACAGTAGAGACCCACAGACTACTCACACACAGAGACCCACAGACTACTCACACAGTAGAGACCCACAGACTACTCACACAGCAGAGACCCATAGACTACTCACACAGAGAGACCCACAGACTACTCACACACAGAGACCCACAGACTACTCACACAGTAGAGACCCACAGACTACTCACACACAGAGACCCACAGACTACTCACACACACAGAGACCCACAGACTACTCACACAGTAGAGACCCACAGACTACTCACACAGCAGAGACCCACAGACTACTCACACAGTAGAGACCCACAGACTACTCACACAGTAGAGACCCACAGACTACTCACACAGCAGAGACCCACAGACTACTCACACAGTAGAGACCCACAGACTACTCACACACAGAGACCCACAGACTACTCACACAGTAGAGACCCACAGACTACTCACACAGCAGAGACCCATAGACTACTCACACAGAGAGACCCACAGACTACTCACACACAGAGACCCACAGACTACTCACACAGTAGAGACCCACAGACTACTCACATAGAGACCCACAGACTACTCACATAGAGACCCACAGACTACTCACACAGTAGAGATCCACAGACTACTCGCACAGTAGAGACCCACAGACTACTCACATAGAGACCCACAGACTACTCGCACAGTAGAGACCCACAGACTACTCACACAGTAGAGACCCACAGACTACTCACACAGCAGAGACCCATAGACTACTCACACAGCAGAGACCCACAGACTACTCACACAGCAGAGACCCACAGACTACTCACACAGCAGAGACCCATAGACTACTCACACAGTAGAGACCCACAGACTACTCACACAGTAGAGACCCACAGACTACTCACACTGTAGACACCCACAGACCACTCACACAGCAGAGACCCACAGACTACTCACACAGTAGAGACCCACAGACTACTCACACAGTAGAGACCCACAGACTACTCACACAGTAGAGACCCACAGACTACTCACACACAGTAGAGACCCACAGACTACTCACACAGTAGAGACCCACAGACTACTCACACAGTAGAGACCCACAGACTACTCACACAGTAGAGACCCACAGACTACTCACACACTGAGTCTGTGTCTGGTGTGCAGTTCCACATGACGACGCAACAGCAATCACCCAGGGAGCAACCAAACAAGGTAAGACCTCAAATCGTGCAATCTCGTGTCGTCTCGTGTCAACTCGAGGCTACACGGGGCACCTTTGTCTGTGTGTCTATAGACACTGCCGCTGCTACTCACAGCCCTTGCCCCTGCAGCCCTGCTAGAGGCTACACGGGCACCTTTGTCTGTGTGTCTATAGACACTGCTGCTAACAGCACTTGCCCCTTCAGCCCTGCTAGAGGCTACACGGGCCACCTTTGCCTGTGTGTCTATAGGTGCTGCTACTAACAGCACTTGCCCCTACAGCCCTGCTAGAGGCTACACGGGCCACCTTTGCCTGTGTGTCTATAGGACCTGGTCAGCCACTTGCCCTCTGCTAAGAGGCTACACGGGTCACCTTTGCCTGTCGTGCGCAGCGTACGTGGTGGACTTCTGCAAGGCGAAGGTGGACGGGATGTTCGCGGACCCAGGGAACTCGAACGCCTTCTACCACTGCTCCAACCACTACACCTACTACAAGCTCTGCCAGCAAGGCCTGGTGTTCAACCAGCGGCTCGGGGCTTGCGTGTGGCCATACCAAGGTTGGTCGGCTGTCTGTGCTGTGTGCTTGTGTGTGGGTGGGTCTGTGTGTGTGGGTCTGTGTGTGATTGTGTGTGTGGGTCTGTGTGTGTGGGTCTGTGTGTGATTGTGTGTGTGGGTCTGTGCGTGTGTCTGTGTGTGATTGTGTGTGTGGGTCTGTGCGTGTGTGTCTGTGTGTGATTGTGTGTGTGGGTCTGTGCGTGTGTGTCTGTGTGTGATTGTGTGTGTGGGTCTGTGTGTGTGGGTCTGTGTGTGATTGTGTGTGTGGGTCTGTGCGTGTGTCTGTGTGTGATTGTGTGTGTGGGTCTGTGCGTGTGTGTCTGTGTGTGATTGTGTGTGTGGGTCTGTGCGTGTGTCTGTGTGTGATTGTGTGTGTGGGTCTGTGCGTGTGTCTGTGTGTGATTGTGTGTGTGGGTCTGTGCGTGTGTGTCTGTGTGTGATTGTGTGTGTGGGTCTGTGCGTGTGTGTCTGTGTGTGATTGTGTGTGTGGGTCTGTGCGTGTGTGTCTGTGTGTGATTGTGTGTGTGGGTCTGTGCGTGTGTGTCTGTGTGTGATTGTGTGTGTGGGTCTGTGCGTGTGTGTCTGTGTGTGATTGTGTGTGTGGGTCTGTGCGTGTGTGTCTGTGTGTGATTGTGTGTGTGGGTCTGTGCGTGTGTGTCTGTGTGTGATTGTGTGTGTGGGTCTGTGCGTGTGTGTCTGTGTGTGATTGTGTGTGTGGGTCTGTGCGCGTGTGTCTGTGTGTGATTGTGTGTGTGGGTCTGTGTGTGTGGGTCTGTGTGTGATTGTGTGTGTGGGTCTGTGCGTGTGTCTGTGTGTGATTGTGTGTGTGGGTCTGTGCGTGTGTGTCTGTGTGTGATTGTGTGTGTGGGTCTGTGCGTGTGTCTGTGTGTGATTGTGTGTGTGGGTCTGTGCGTGTGTGTCTGTGTGTGATTGTGTGTGTGGGTCTGTGCGTGTGTGTCTGTGTGTGATTGTGTGTGTGGGTCTGTGCGTGTGTGTCTGTGTGTGATTGTGTGTGTGGGTCTGTGCGTGTGTGTCTGTGTGTGATTGTGTGTGTGGGTCTGTGTGTGTGTGTCTGTGTGTGATTGTGTGTGTGGGTCTGTGCGTGTGTGTCTGTGTGTGATTGTGTGTGTGGGTCTGTGCGTGTGTGTCTGTGTGTGATTGTGTGTGTGGGTCTGTGCGCGTGTGTCTGTGTGTGATTGTGTGTGTGGGTCTGTGCGTGTGTGTCTGTGTGTGATTGTGTGTGTGGGTCTGTGCGTGTGTCTGTGTGTGATTGTGTGTGGGTGTGTCTGTGTGTGGGTGTCTGTGGGTGTCCGTGTGTGTCTGTGTGTGTGGGTCTGTGTGTGTCTGTATGTGTGTGTGTCTGTGTATGTGTCTGTATGTGTGTGTGTGGGTCTGTGTGGGTCTGTGTATGTGTGTCTGTGTATGTGTCTGTATGTGTGTATGTGTCTGTGTGTGTGTCTGTCCGTGTGTCTGTGTGTGTCTGTGTATCTGTATGTGTGTGTGTCTGTGTGTGTGTCGGTGGTGGTGGTGGTGGAGGTGGTGGTGGTACTGGTGGTGGTGGTACTGGTGGTGGTGGTGCTAGTGATGGTGGTACTGGTGCTAGTGGTGCTAGTGGTGGTGGTGGTACTGGTGGTACTGGTGGTGCTAGTGGTGCTAGTGGTGGTGGAGGTGGTAGTGCTGGTGGTGGCGGTGGGGTAAACCCGTGCCACCTTTGCCTCTCTCTGTGTGCCCGCAGGAGTCTAGGTTGGAGTCACGGGACCTCCAGGAAATGAAGACGTCTCCTGCAATGTCACCATCACCACCACATCACCATCAATTCACTACCATCACCATAATCACCACCACCACCATCATCATCACCACATCACTACCATCACCATAATCATCATGACTACCATCACCACCACTATCACTACCATCACCACCACTCTCACTACCATCACCACCACTCTCACTACCATCACCACCACTATCACTACCATCACCACCACTATCACTACCATCACCACCACATCACTACCACCACTATCACTACCATCACCACCACTCTCACTACCATCACCACCACTATCACTACCATCACCACCACTATCACTACCATCACCACCACTCTCACTACCATCACCACCACTCTCACTACCATCACCACCACATCACTACCATCACCACCACTATCACTACCATCACCACCACATCACTACCGTCACCACCACTCTCACTACCATCACCACCACTATCACTACCATCACCACCACATCACTATCATCACCACCACTATCACTACCATCACCATGATCATCATAGGGGTTGATGTTGCTACTCACTACTAACAGCACTTACCCCTACAGCCTGCTAGAGGCTACACGGGGGACCTTTGTCTTTGTCTCTATAGGCACTGCTACTCGCTACTATCAGCACTTGACCCTGCAGCCTGCTAGAGGCTACACGGGGGAGCTTTCTCTTTGGGGGTTATACTTTTTGGGCAATGTGATTGGTTGGTATTCCGAATAAAGTTGATCGGTGTTCTGCACGGTGACTACGCGTCCACGACTTTGTGTGTGTGAGTAGTCTGTGTGTGTGTGAGTAGTCTGTGTGTGTGTGTGAGTAGTCTGTGTGTGTGTGTGTAGTCTGTGGGTCTCTGTGTGAGTAGTCTGTGGGGCTCTGTGTGTGTGTGTGAGTAGTCTGTGTGTGTGTAGTCTGTGGGTCTCTGTGTGAGTAGTCTGTGGGGCTCTGTGTGTGTGTGTGAGTAGTCTGTGAGTCTCTGTGTGTGTGTGTGAGTAGTCTATGGGTCTCTGTGTGTGTGTGTGAGTAGTCTGTGTGTCTCTCTGTGTGTGTGTGAGTAGTCTGTGGGTCTCTGTGTGTGTGTGTGAGTAGTCTGTGAGTCTCTGTGTGTGTGTGTGAGTAGTCTATGGGTCTCTGTGTGTGTGTGAGTAGTCTGTGTGTCTCTCTGTGTGTGTGAGTAGTCTGTGGGTCTCTGTGTGTGTATGTGAGTAGTCTGTGAGTCTCTGTGTGTGTGTGTGAGTAGTCTATGGGTCTCTGTGTGTGTGTGTGTGTGAGTAGTCTGTGGGTCTCTGTGTGTGTGAGTAGGCTGTGGGGCTGTGTGTGTGTGAGTAGTCTGTGGGTCTCTACTGTGTGAGTAGTCTGTGGATCTCTCTGTGTGTGTGAGTAGTCTGTGTGTGTAGTCTGTGTGTGTGTGAGTAGTCTGTGTGTGTGTGAGTAGTCTGTGTGTGTGTGAGTAGTCTGTGTGTGTGTGAGTAGTCTGTGTGTGTGTGAGTAGTCTGTGTGTGTGTGAGTAGTCTGTGTGTGTGTGAGTAGTCTGTGTGTGTGAGTAGTCTGTGTGTGTGAGTAGTCTGTGTGTGTGTGAGTAGTCTGTGTGTGTGTGAGTAGTCTGTGTGTGTGTGAGTAGTCTGTGTGTGTGTGAGTAGTCTGTGTGTGTGTGAGTAGTGTGTGTGTGTGTGAGTAGTGTGTGTGTGTGTGTGAGTAGTGTGTGTGTGTGTGTGAGTAGTCTGTGTGTGTGTGAGTAGTCTGTGTGTGTGTGAGTAGTCTGTGTGTGTAGTCTGTGTGTGTGAGTAGTCTGTGGGTCTCTGTGTGTGAGTAGTCTGTGGGTCTCTGTGTGAGTAGTCTGTGGGTCTCTGGTGTGTGTGAGTAGTCTGTGGGTCTCTACTGTGTGAGTAGTCTGTGGGTCTCTATTGTGTGAGTAGTCTGTGGGTCTCTACTGTGTGAGTAGTCTGTGGGTCTCTGTGTGTGAGTAGTCTGTGGGTCTCTGTGTGTGAGTAGTCTGTGGGTCTCTGCTGTGTGAGTAGTCTGTGGGTCTCTACTGTGTGAGTAGTCTGTGGGTCTCTACTGTGTGAGTAGTCTGTGGATCTCTGTGTGTGTGAGTAGTCTGTGGGTCTCTGTGTGTGAGTAGTCTGTGGGTCTCTGTGTGAGTAGTCTGTGGGTCTCTACTGTGTGAGTAGTCTGTGGGTCTCTACTGTGTGAGTAGTCTGTGGGTCTCTGCTGTGTGAATAGTCTGTGGGTCTCTGTGTGTGAGTAGTCTGTGGGTCTCTGTGTGTGAGTAGTCTGTGGGTCTCTGTGTGAGTAGTTTGTGGGTCTCTACTGTGTGAGTAGTCTGTGGGTCTCTACTGTGTGAGTAGTCTGTGGGTCTCTGTTGTGTGAGTAGTCTGTGGGTCTCTACTGTGTGAGTAGTCTGTGGGTCTCTACTGTGTGAGTAGTCTGTGGGTCTCTGCTGTGTGAATAGTCTGTGGGTCTCTACTGTGTGAGTAGTCTGTGGGTCTCTACTGTGTGAGTAGTCTGTGGATCTCTGTGTGTGTGAGTAGTCTGTGGGTCTCTGTGTGAGAAGTCTGTGGGTCTCTCGTGTGTGTGTGAGTAGTCTGTGGGTCTCTGTGTGAGTAGTCTGTGTGTGTGTGAGTAGTCTGTGGGTCTCTACTGTGTGAGTAGTCTGTGGGTCTCTACTGTGTGAGTAGTCTGTGGGTCTCTGTGTGAGTAGTCTGTGGGTCTCTGTGTGAGTAGTCTGTGGGTCTCTACTGTGTGAGTAGTCTGTGGGTCTCTACTGTGTGAGTAGTCTGTGGGTCTCTACTGTGTGAGTAGTCTGTGGGTCTCTACTGTGTGAGTAGTCTGTGGGTCTCTGCTGTGTGAGTAGTCTGTGGGTCTCTACTGTGTGAGTAGTCTGTGGGTCTCTACTGTGTGAGTAGTCTGTGGGTCTCTACTGTGTGAGTAGTCTGTGGGTCTCTACTGTGTGAGTAGTCTGTGGGTCTCTACTGTGTGAGTAGTCTGTGGGTCTCTACTGTGTGAGTAGTCTGTGGGTCTCTACTGTGTGAGTAGTCTGTGGGTCTCTACTGTGTGAGTAGTCTGTGGGTCTCTGTGTGAGTAGTCTGTGGGTCTCTACTGTGTGAGTAGTCTGTGGGTCTCTGTGTGAGTAGTCTGTGGGTCTCTGTGTGAGTAGTCTGTGGGTCTCTGTGTGAGTAGTCAGTGGGTCTCTGTGTGAGAAGTCTATGGGTCTCTCCGTGTGTGTGAGTAGTCTGTGGGTCTCTGTGTGAGTAGTCTGTGTGTGTGTGAGTAGTCTGTGGGTCTCTGTGTGAGTAGTCTGTGTGTGTGTGAGTAGTCTGTGGGTCTCTACTGTGTGAGTAGTCTGTGGGTCTCTACTGTGTGAGTAGTCTGTGGATCTCTCTGTGTGTGTGAGTAGTCTGTGTGTGTGTGAGTAGTCTGTGTGTGTGTGAGTAGTCTGTGTGTGTGTGTGAGTAGTCTGTGTGTGTGTGAGTAGTCTGTGTGTGTAGTCTGTGTGTGTAGTCTGTGGGTCTCTGTGTGAGTAGTCTGTGGGTCTCTGTGTGAGTAGTCTGTGGGTCTCTGTGTGAGTAGTCTGTGGGTCTCTGTGTGAGTAGTCTGTGGGTCTCTGTGTGAGTAGTCTGTGGGTCTCTACTGTGTGAGTAGTCTATGGGTCTGTGTGTGTGTGAGTAGTCTATGGGGTTCTGTGTGTGTGTGAGTAGTCTGTGGGTCTCTGTGTGAGTAGTCTGTGGGTCTCTGTGTGAGTAGTCTGTGGGTCTCTGGTGTGTGTGAGTAGTCTGTGGGTCTCTACTGTGTGAGTAGTCTGTGGGTCTCTACTGTGTGAGTAGTCTGTGGGTCTCTACTGTGTGAGTAGTCTGTGGGTCTCTACTGTGTGAGTAGTCTGTGGGTCTCTACTGTGTGAGTAGTCTGTGGGTCTCTACTGTGTGAGGAGTCTGTGGGTCTCTGTGTGTGTGAGTAGTCTGTGGGTCTCTGTGTGTGAGTAGTCTGTGGGTTTCTACTGTGTGAGTAGTCTGTGGGTCTCTGTGTGTGTGAGTAGTCTGTGGGTCTCTGTGTGTGTGTGAGTAGTCTGTGGGTCTCTGTGTGTGTGTGAATAGTCTGTGGGTCTCTGTGTGAGTAGTCTGTGGGTCTCTACTGTGTGAGTAGTCTGTGGGTCTCTACTGTGTGAGTAGTCTGTGGGTCTCTGTGTGAGTAGTCTGTGGGTCTCTGTGTGAGTAATCTGTGGGGCTCTGTGTGTGAGTAGGCTGTGGGTCTCTGTGTGTGAGTAGTCTGTGGGTCTCTGTGTGTGAGTAGTCTGTGGGTCTCTGTGTGTGTGTGAGTAGGCTGTGGGGCTGTGTGTGTGTGTGAGTAGTCTGTGGGTCTCTGTGTGTGTGAGTAGTCTGTGGGTCTACTGTGTGAGTAGTCTGTGGGTCTCTGTGTGTGAGTAGTCTGTGGGTCTCTGTGTGAGTAGTCTGTGGGTCTCTACTGTGAGTAGTCTATGGGTCTCTGCTGTGTGAGTAGTCTGTGGGTCTCTGTGTGTGAGTAGTCTGTGGGTCTCTACTGTGTGAGGAGTCTGTGGGTCTCTACTGTGTGAGTAGTCTGTGGGTCTCTGTGTGTGAGTAGTCTGTGGGTCTCTGTGTGTGAGTAGTCTGTGGGTTTCTACTGTGTGAGTAGTCTGTGGGTTTCTACTGTGTGAGTAGTCTGTGGGTCTCTGTGTGTGTGTGAGTAGTCTGTGGGTCTCTCTGTGTGTGTGAGTAGTCTGTGGGTCTCTGTGTGCGTGAGTAGTCTGTGGGTCTCCCATACCTGGGCAGTGTGCTCATGACCGGCTCCGGTTTAACAGCAGAGGTCTCACTCCGAATCAGTCGAGCGGCAATATCTTTTCATTGGTTGCGTAACGCTGTGTGGAAGCTACCTGGTCTGTCGCTACGCACGAAGCTTCAGGTCTTTTTGGCCACAGCCATTCCCTCCCTTCTCTACGCTTGCGAAACGTAGACCCCCCCCCTAATGGAGCATCTGCGCCGGTTAGAAACATTTAGGCTGGCCTGCCTACGATCCATTCTGGGTTTAACCCGCAGGCTGGATTGTGTGAGGAGCTCGCAAATCCTTGAAAGATCTGGACAAAGTCCCATCGGTGAGCTCCTCCGGCAGGCAAGGCTGCGTTAGCTGGGTCATGTAGCCCGCATGCCCAGCCACCGCATGCCCCCCACCATTGACTCCACCCCCATCAGAGCGTAAATAAAACAAACTAATTGGGCAACATCTGCTTGGTTCTTTCGGTAAAGTCACGTAGAAGGGAAGTAATAAAATAATAAAAATAAAACATAATAAAATAATAATAAAACATAATAAAATAATCTTCTTAGTTCTTTCGGTAAAGTCACGTAGAAGGGAAGTAATAAAATAATAAAAATAAAACATAATAAATTATATTATTTAATTTTATTATTGTATTATGTTTTATTTTTATTATTTTATTACTTCCCTTCCACGTGACTTTACCGAAAGAACCAAGAAGATGAATCCCTGCAGTCACAAAAGCTTTAAATCGAAATTGAATTGGGCAACGTCGTTTTCGAGCCCCGCGCTTTTATTCGAACGCCGGATTGGCCGTCACCTTTACAGCCACGACAACAACAATAACAACAACAACGTCGCTTGCGGGCATCCGCTACACCACCGGCAGGGGCTACGCTACCTGGGGGAGCTTTGTCTTTGCCTGTGTTGTCCGAAAATCTTCCGTGCGTCGCATCGCGAGATGTTGACAACCTCGCC